CTTTTTGGATTTTTCAATTTTTTCAAATTTTATGGGTTTTTATTTTTTTTTTAATTTTTAAAACACAAAACAGATATATTCCTCTCCCCCACACTTAAAGCATACATTGCCCTCAATGTATAAAACACAAAAGACAAGACAACCAAGTGAAAAGAAAAGAAAAGACATAAACAAAAAGAATTAAAAGAAATGACACAACTCTGGGAATGTGAAGCAGAGGACCGGAATTGTTGAATAAATTGTTGCAACTGCCATTTAAACACACGACCAACTTCTTCAGAATTTTGGATGTTTCATTTTCAGAACCATTGGACACCAAAGTTTCGCCCTTCCAATAACCCCAATTGTAAACTAAAATAAATTAGAAAAACAAACCTAAAAACAGATGATTAAGAAAAACCACGAAAATTTAGAAATCAAAGATCTCAAGATAATCAGGAAAAAAAAACTTAACCACCAACTTATTCATGAAAAATAAAATAAAATAAAGCAAAATAAAATTTGGGTTGCCTCCCAATAAGCGCTGTTTTAAAGTCTTTAGCCGGACTCCAGGACTGATCTGTCAGAGTACTCATCTCGATACCAGAAGAAACCATGTTTAGCAGCAACAATGCATCTCTTGTAGTGGCTCTCCTTGCCATGAGAAAATATAAACTTATACTCTAACACTACAACATCCTCTTTCTCAAATTCAATCTTGTACTATTGATCCTCTTCTTGGTCTTTCATTGAACCATTTTTCACATCATCCTCAAAATCTCTTATACTAGGGACAACCTCACCATATGTGTCTACTTCAAACCCTACTTTTGAAACTATAGGAATGTTATTCTCATCAAAATCAACTTGATTAACATTTTTGTCACCAACTCTCAGAATGAGCGAATCATGCTTAACTACTATGTATATACCAGAAGAATAAGGAGAACTTGGAATATATGGATTGTTAATCTCTTTAATCTCTTCTAATTCTTCACATTCAAGCTCGGTTTGAGATGGGGGCTGGGGAGACAGGACCAATGAATTATTTTCAGAAATCTTCTCATTCTTATTCAATTTAAACAAATTTCCTATAGGATCATATTCCGGCAACCCCACACTCAACCTATATTGATTGACCTCTTTGATAAGTTGTTGGCCTTTTTCACTTTGCAATTCTTGAAGAGCTCTCTCTCTAACACTAAGTTGGGTTTAAACAGGTGGCTGCTGATACGAAGATCCTAACTATCTCAAAGTGGGTTGACAAGGGGATGACTGTAAAGCTGCTAGCTCTCTCAGAGTAGGTTGACGAGCTGCTAACTCTCTTAGAGTGGGTTGAGGAGGTGGTGGTTGATATACTGATGCATATGAGTGGTAACAATCCTCTTGAGAGAAATATAAAACATTTTTCTTCTCGATGTCATCCAGCAATTTATCAATTCTCTCCAAACATGACAACATCTTAGGACTCATATACATGTTCTCAAAACCATAATTGTACCCAGCATCAAATGAATACCCTTGATAATCACAACCATAATAAGGATCAATAGAGCAATTGTTCCAAGAGTACGGATCTTCTTGATATGTAGGATAGTCTCCATATTCAGAATCATAACCATAATACGGAGTCTCTCCATAATACGGAGTTTGTATTATTCCTACAAACTAATACTAGCCTTCCACTCTCGCTACTTCAGCTAGCACCTTAAAGCATGCAAATATTGATCAGGTATTCACATGGATGAAAAACAAGAATAATAAATATTAATTAATGAAAAATTCAAAATTATAACTTAAATTAAATTAAATAGTACGGCAGCTACATCCAAAACCCTAGATTAAATAATTTAGCTATACATCATCTCAAAAATAAATAAAACAATGAAACTCGGGAGAGAGAAGTCGCAAAATTGAGTCGAGGTTGATGCGTTGCTGCTTGCTTCCTCCGTTGATGATGATGTGCGTAAAGGATGATGGAGGTGTGAGTTTTGGAGTTGGAGGAGGGCTGCATGGAGTTGCGTCGGTGAGTTGATGATGGTGATTAAGGTGAATGGAAGCAAGGTTGATGGGTTGTTGGAGCTGCGTGAATGGAAGGTGGAGCGGTGGTGGTGAGGTGATGGAGATTAAGGTGATGATGGTGGTACGTGGGAGTTGAAAAAGAGGAATTTTGGGCATAGGTGTTGTGGTGGTTGGGTGGTCAAGTTTTGTCTTCAAAAATAAAACCCTAGTTCTTTTTTTATAGGCTTTTCTCAAACTCTATTTTTTCAGGAATAAGAAATTCATTTTTTTTTCCAAGCCAATTTAAATTAAAACTTCTCCAAGTCTTCAAGTGCTTCAATTTCTTCCTTGTCAATTTATCAAATCTTCGATTCTCTCTTTGAGTTGCTTTTATCTTCATTTTAACCCAAAATTTCAACAATTCTTCTATTTGAGTACATTTCCTACAATCAAATATAAAATCATATAAATAGCATATTTGTACTCAAAATATATTACAAAAATCACGCATAAAAGAATATTAAAAATAGACAAATTATGAGCACATCAGCGCCAGTGGTGGAGGTGATCTGGTGGTGGTGTAAAATATTATTATTTTATTTAAAATACTACCTAAACAACTTTTTAAATTTTGTCTCAAAACACATTTTAAATCACATCTCAAATTCAAATAAAAACTAAATTAAAAACTAAAATAAACCATTGTCCAAACAAGTCCTTAGCTACTTTGTAATATAAAATCTATGATGCAATAAAATGTTCCTCTACACTCTGTGCCAAAAAAAAGAAAAAACAAAAAAAAAGACAAAAAGAAAAGAGAGCAGAACTTTAAGGGCTTAAATTTTATTTATTTTTTTAAAAGGGAAATTATAAGTAATATTTGCTTGCATGGATATATAGGGATCCTAGGTACACCTAGCAAGGTATACCCTAGCAAGGTATACCTAGGGTAAAACTCACGTGACCAAAAAAAGGAGAACTCCCAATATTTACAACAGTGACATTCGAGTGTTTACACGCGCCCATTAATACCCCCATTATGTGTGATTTTTTGATTTTTAAATCTTGATAACCACCATTATCTCCTAATTTTCAGCCATTATTGATGATCCAATATTCCATTCGATCTATTCCATTACTCCCCAAATCAAAAAAAAAAAAAAAAAAAAACCGAAACCCCAAAAAATCAATCCTGCGGCGATACATTCAGAGAAGCTACCGTCGGCGGGACTTCCGAAGTCTAAATCGAATCGTTCATAAAAACGGTAATTCTGATTACAAGTTACAATACTGAAGATGAGGATTAAGGTGTATTCTGGTCAAATTCATCGATTTTTCTGTGTTTATCCATTGTTGTTTGATTCTGGTTTGATGAATGTTGTTTTTTCTTAAAATATTCATGTAGATGCCTATGGCTGAGGATTCCGAACCGAGTATGAGCAAATCGGAGGATGAAGGGGAAGCGAGGTAATACAACTACTCTTCAATCACTGGTGTAGTTTTTTTGTTTGGGTTATGTAGATCTAAGGTATGTTCACTCAATTTGTTCATCAATTTTAGAGATATGTTCTTTGATTTGCTTTTTTATTTTGGTAAATTAGAAGATTTGAGAATTATTCATCAGTTTGGTATAATTAGTCATTATTGAAATTATCAGATTCATCGTTTTCATAACTATTGAAATTATCAGATTCATCAATTTTAGAGTTTTGTTCTTCTATTGGATGTTGTTTTTCTGGTAAATTGGTAGATTTGCGTATTATTCATCAGATTGGTATAATTATTCATTGTTAAAATTGTAAGATTCATTGTTTACCATAACTATGTAGTATTGTTTTTTTTTTTGGTAAAGTAGTAGATCTTTGTATTATTCATCAGTTTTGGTATAATTATTCATTGTTGAAATTGTCAGATTCATCGTTTACCATAATTATGTAGTATTATTTTTCGGTAAATTATTAGATCTTTGCATTACTCATCAGTTTGGTATAATTATTCATTGTTGAAATTGCCAGATTCATCGTTTATCATCACTATGTAGTATTGTTTTTTTTTTTTGGTAAATTACTAGATATTTATATTATTCATCAGTTTGGTATAATTATTCATTGTTGAAATTGCTGGATTCATCACATATGACAAGTTATTCATGGAATTTGTAAATATATTGTAGCATGAGCGATGAATATCATACACAATCTGAAAGAAGAATGAGCGAAGAACAACATTCAGAAGCCAAAAGAACCAGGATATCTGAATCTGCAAAAAATTAAACCACAATAAGTGTAGATATTGATATAGAGGGTTATTCATCAGTTTGGTATAATTATTCATTGTTGAAATTGTCGTATTCATCAGTTTGGTATAATTATTCATTGTTGTATCGCACCTACCTCTTGAATTTTTTACTCCTTGTTTGCTACATGCACATTGTTTCCAATATACAACACCAGATTTGGACATTTTCCAATCTTTGAACTTGTTTATTGAAAAAACCAATGCGCTTTGTGTAAGAATTATAAACAACAAAAGCCTCTTCCTCATAGTTGAAACATCGACCAATTAGCAAAACTTCTATTATTCATCAATAACAACTCGTTATTTATTAGTTAACATAAGATATTCATCGTAAAATCGTAATAATATAATACACCATCGGTCAAAAAACAACAATGAACTCTCTGTTCATCAATAACCATACATTACACATTACTTTACGCAACGCGCGACAAGAATAAACCTAGTTTTAAAAAAATAATCTCATAAAATAAAATAATGTAAAAGCTAACATGATAAGTATTAAAAAAGATAACATTTGAAAAATTAAACATGTGCTAAAAAAAGGGATAAATTTAGAGGAATTAATTCACGTAATTAAAATTTGGAGGAAAAAAAAAGGATAACATTTGATTACGTAATTAAACTGATGATTTGCATAATAAATGTGCGTGTGGACTCCTTTTTTTCAGACTCAATTATTCTAATTTCTCTTCCCCCATATATGATTCACGCACGGCCTAGATACACCTTGCAAGGTACTTAGGATCTTAATATTATTTGCCGTCCACATGCTGTAAAAACAAGGTGAAACCACCGCCTCCCCTACCCCCACCCAGCAATCTTCTAAAAACACGACTATTAAAAGAAACTAATTATTAAAAAAAAAAAAGAAAAAAAGGAGAAGAAGAGCAAGGAAAGAAAGCAGAGGTTTGACCCCTAACATTGAATTCCCAATCTGTGGAGCGGATCGGTGGATTCCTCGCCGTTATCCATTGGCTCGATCAAATTCCGGTTGCAATTTTGGGATTGAATCGAGCCGTTGAGTGATCAATGGATCAGAGCAGGAGAGCTGTGGAATCCTACTGGAGGTCGCGATTGATCGATGGCGCCACCTCCGACGAGGATAAAGTCACTCCCGTCTACAAATTGGAGGAGATTTGCGAGCTTCTCCGGTCCTCCCATGTCAGCATCGTTAAGGAAGTCTCCGAATTTATCCTTAAGCGACTCCAGCACAAATCACCTGTTGTCAAGCAAAAGGTATTCCTCTGCTCTGATTTTCCTGCAAACTGGAGTCTTTCAAATTTATGCGTGAGTGTGTTAATCTTATTGTTATTAATGTTTGTTGTTAATTTCTATGGGATAAAGCGCTTGTAGTTGTAATATCTGGATGCATGTTAATGTTTAGCTGTTGGCGACTCCCATTAACTTGATGATTCTCGCAAAGTGATTTTGTTTTTTGATTTTTCATTCTCCTATTTTTTATTGCTTGTGTAGTTTACAATCACTGTGTGCGTGAGCATGTGAAAGTAGACGTTTTTTTTTTTCTTCTTTTATTAATTTTTTTTAGTTTAGTAGACCGAGATCGTTCTGCAGTTTTGAAAGACCATCAGAAAAGCTAATTGAAAGTGGGGAAAAAAGGAGAAGGGAGGCAGTTTGTTGTAATAATTTGTAAAGGAATGCTTGATTGAGGGCTGCAGTGCATCATTTATATGTGGCAGATCGGCCATGAACTATGGTTACTTTAGTTTTTCGATTCTTTTTGGTTTCACGCATTTTGTTTTGGTATTAGTTTGGTTGTTTAAGATGGTGGATCAATATGATGAGATTTTATTTTGGCATGATAGACAGAAAGTTTTGTCATTTGAAGCTAACTTAAATCTGGCAAGGGTAAAATTTTCCTGTCTAGTTCTCTGAACCCCACATTTGGTGATTAAAATAGATTAATATAAAATAAAGCCCTGTTTTTTGTTGAAATTTTGCCTATAGTTTGGCTTTACCACCCCGACCAATTAGCCATGGATTGTCTCGCAGTTTCATTTTTTTACTTTTCGGATTCGGATTATCCCACTGGTTATTCTTCTTTAATGTTAGTTTGCATCGAATGCTATTTTTCCAGTGGTTCTTACTCTGATACTAATGTAATCCAATTTTTCTCAAGGCCTTAAGAGTGATCAAGTATGCTGTTGGAAAGTCCGGTGCAGAGTTTAGGAGGGAGATGCAAAGAAATTCTGTGGCTGTGCGGCAGTTAATCCACTATAAAGGACAACCAGATCCTTTAAAAGGTGATGCCTTGAATAAGGCTGTGCGGGAGACAGCCCAAGAGACTTTGTCTGCGTTATTTGCAAATGAGGATAGTAAACCTTCCCCTGCTGAAAATCTTAGCAGGAGGATTGAAGGATTTGGAAATACAAACTTTAATACGACATCAGACGATAAGAAGTCTTTCCTTACTGAGGTGGTTAACATTGGGAGCAGCACAATAAAGCAGGGACTAAGCAGTTTTACCCAATCCCCATCTCTTAAAAAAAATGAGACTGGATCATACAGGAGTCCGAATCTTCAAAGATCGCTAACACGGGAAAATGATGCCATGGATAGATATGAAGGCCTTAATTCCTCCAATGGGAGCCAGAATAGTTCTAGGTTTTCAGGTGCTGTTGATTCGTCAAATTGGAACCAGGATCGTAGATCGCCTCAGTTAGAAGCAGCGGGAGGGGATCCAAGTTCAAATTATGGTGACAAGACCCGTGAGGAGAAGCTATTGGAAACTATAGTGACATCTGGTGGCGTACGTTTACAGCCAACACGAGATGCACTTCAGGTTTTTCTCTCGGAGGCACTGAAGTTAGATGCTCTGGCTTTATCTTATGCTCTAGAATCAAAGCTTCAATCTCCTATGTGGCAGGTTTGTGATTACAGCCGGTTCATGGATTAAGTGATGCATAAGATGTAGTAGCACATTGCAAACCTTGCTTAACCTCTCCATCTATGTTCATCATTACCCAATTTACTGTAGCTTCAGTTGTCGAAAACTTGAGTTGATTGTTGTTAATGAACTTTCGTTGAAGAGCTCCATTTGTTAAGCTTCCCAATATTGTAACTTTTCTCAGGTTCGAATGAAAGCTGTCTGTGTTCTTGAGGCGTTGTTGAGAAGAAAAGATGAAGAACATTTTACTCCTGTGGCTCTTTATTTTAATGAAAACAGAGATGTGGTGGTGAAATGTTCTGAATCTCCCCAGGCTTCATTGAGAGAGAAAGCAAACAAGGCAAGTTTCTGTCCCAGGAACATGTTTAAATTCTTTCCACCTATTTTCTCAGTCTCTTGCTTGTTTAATTGGAATATACCAAATACTTTCTGCTCCTTTCAGTTTTTATGTATTTGTCTTGCTATGATGGCTTCACTGACATGTTGAACTTTGAAACGTAGAGTGCAATTTGAATCATCAATTTAGATTGAGAAGAATCTTGAGTAAAAAAGTCAATATTTTCCATTCTCTTTATGAATGTTTCATATGCATCTGCCCGCTGTTGTGCGGACTCTGTAATTTCCAATTGCCAAAGAAGTTACTCCAGTTATAACCTGTCAAATTGCAAATTTTTCAATTTTTTGTTCATTGGGGTGATATTTTCTGAATTCACCCATGATTGTCTGGCAGGTCCTCGGCCTATTGGCAGGCGAGCAAACTGTTAATGGAGCGAGCCATGAAGAAAAGGGATTTAAGGCTGAAGCAACTGCATTTCAGATGCCGGACTTGATAGATACTGGTGATCCTGATGAACTAGTTACGAATGATTTTTTAAATTCGCAGGATTATCAGAGTACTGAAAAACCATCGACTTCTGCTGCTCCCTTGATTGGTGATTTGTTTGGAGAAGGTCAGGGGACCGATTTGGGTGGCAGTGGACAGAAAGGTGATGATGATCCATTTGCAGATGTGTCCTTCCATAGTGGCAATAATAAGGAACAGGAGGGAGCTGACATATTTTCTGGAATGAACCTTGATAAATCAGGCACAACAGAATCATTTGTAGCAGTTAATCAGGGTGGACCTGAATTGTTTGATATCTTTGGTTCTACATCTGAAGTTCCCCTGGGACTTGATAATTCCAAAAGAGATATGAATGACATGATGGCAGGTTTATCTGTGGATGGAAATAGCTCATCTGAGAAACAGAGTGGAAAGCTATGGGGTACAGAACCTAAAAATGTTTCTTCAAATTCAAAAGTGAGTCCAACTAGTCAGGCTCCTAGCGATGTCTTCAATAGCATGATTACTCCGCAGGCCATTGGGATGAACTCAAATCCCATGTTTTCTGTGGGTGATACTCCATATAGTTTGGCACCAGGTTTCATGTTAAATCCATCGTTTGCAACCCAGCCAGTTAACTATAATGCCATGGCTAGTTTGCTTGCCCAACAGCAATTGCTTGCTACAATGTCCAACTTTCAGCAGCTAGGAAATTTGCAGTCGAACCCCGGTGCTGTTGCTGGACCAAATGGAAGTTATTCTTCACCACTACCGGACATATTTAATCCTTCTCTCCCAAATCAAACTCCTCCTTCAATGATAAGTACTTCCAAGAAAGAGGAGACAAAGGCATTTGACTTCATATCGGTAAGTTGTGTCTCTGTGCTTATCCTTCCTGTGCTGCTTTTTCAATTTGTGTAACTTGCACTGCTGGTCTTCAAAATGGCTTGCATATGCATGGTCCATAATTATTGCTTTGCACAGGAATTATAGTTTTGCATGTTACTACTTTGACTTAGGCATATCATCCAAGTATCCAATGATTTAGTTTATGTTTCCATTGGGTAGATTTCGTTCACTTAGCCTTATGAACTTTTTTCACACTTTCTGTTGATTTTGTTTACCTGCAACATATATATTGGGAACAGGTTTTTAATTTGGAAGCTAAAAATTTCGGATTAGGAGATAAACGCCTCACCTAGATTTCCATTTGCACTGGGTCTAAACATAAGATATGAGGTTAAGACATGTTTAATTAAACATTTTCGTTGTGGTAGTTCAATTGACGCAGCACAACGTGGGTGTATAAAACACAGATCGTAGGTTAAGAAACCTCAAGTAGGCAGCAGGGAAAACTTAGGAAAATTATCAGAAAAGATACTTTAAAAAAGTAGTATTGCAGCGGAAAATTAAAGGGTAACCAACTAAGAATCACTCCTAGTCACCTTTGGCGTCACACCTCAGGATTTGAAGCTTTATCACACAACTTTTGCAAAGCAAAGCTTATTGCAGGAATTTTTATTAATCAACGTCTAAAAATCCCTGAAAGGGATACAACCTTATATTTATAGGCATAAAAAGACTTAAACCAAAATCTATTAGGAGTATGATTTGGAATTCCAGAATCTTCTCCCTTATTACCTAATAACACTTTGAAACTAAATAGGAAACAAATACTTAAACTAATTTCCTGAAACCAGAAAATCCTGCAACAATGCAAAAGTACTAAAATACCCTTATACTAAAATACTGAAAATTAAATATGAAAATAACTTAAAATATTTCCAGCAGCTTATTCAAGCTCCCAGGAAGACTCTTTCTCACCCAGATGATTCCATATAACCGTTTGAGCTTTAGAACCGCTCCTAGTATAATACTTAGTATTTTTCAACCATTTGTCCCCATCATCATTGCTATTTATTGGCATTCTTATTGCTATGCTAGTTCATTTCCCACTTGTTTGCCCTTGTTTTTCTTTACTTTCGCAGTTTGATATCTTCCACACATATCAGGGACATTATGATGTGTGCTAAAGGCTATTGTCTCGAATTTTAATGTTATTTAGGTTCCTAATCAAAAGCCAACTTTGATTACATTCAAAAGGTTACGGTTCTCCATTGGAAAAAAAATACACTTAAACATAGACCAAGGAATAGTTGGAATTTAGTGATTCCTGACCATATTTTCTTAATGATAAGTTTGGTGGCTGTCACTATAGATATGGTTGATGTTTGGCTTATCTTCTCCTAGTTAATCTTTCATTAGCTTTGAAAATGAATACCTTCTAAGATATGGACGTACATTCTCCACAATTGTACTTGAACAAATTACAACATTGATTCCCAAAATATTTATTTCCTTTTAACGTGTTTGGTCCTGCCCCAAATTCTCAGACCTTGTTATGCACACTATGCCTCAGAGTAGGGTAGATGATTTAGAAGCCGCTGAAATTCTTGTACTTCTTTGCTTTAAAATCTTTACTAAATCAAACTTTGGATATGCATTAGGTGAAGTTTTCTTTTGAACATCTCCGTCTTCACTAGCTGTGAAAAGAAAAAGAAACAAATAAGTTGAAGATAAGAATGAAGCTGTCTAGTAGATATCTAGAAAGAAAAGGAAAAGAGAACAGATTGTCTTGGCATGAAATGGCCAAGGGCTGTCAGATTTTGTGTAGTTGCATTATTGGTGTTGATTCTGGGGTTCCAGAAAGATGTCTAGGCAAAGAATAACATTGGAAGGACAGGTTATCATATAAGTGGTGTGCGTCTCCGATGTAATGCAGAAATAGATAAAGATTTTTGCTGCTTATTGCATTGTGGTGATTCTACTTTTCTTGCTGAATGACTTGAGGAGGTTCTGCCCAGTCTTTTACTGTTACTAGAATTCTTCTCTTATTCCATCACAAAAATGATTGAACATTTAAACTAACACGGGACGTTTTGTGGGATGGATTCACAGATAGAGTACTTTGTTGTATTTTACCATGTTAGTTGCATTGGAATTCATGTAAAAAAATATATTTGGCCACCTTGTTTTTGGGTGCTCATTCTTACGGCTTCTAGAAGGCACTTGCGTTGTGTGATGGTGCTGATTGTAAGTTTAGATGCTGGTTTGGTTTTTAGTTTCAGTATTTAGCAGTTGGCCAATCTGATGATGATTGATGTATATCTGTTGGTATTGCAGGACCATCTGGCTGCTGCTCGTGATCCCAAAAGAGTGGTTTGACGATAGTTCAGAAGATGTATTGTTCATAGAAGGCCTTATTCAGCTGAAGAGTGACTATGTTATGTGGTTCGAAATGGAAATCACAGCTGGGAATACACTCATTATCAAAACTCCAATTGCACATTGCAAAATCCGGCTTCTTCTGAAAATCATGGTAAAGAATCTCAAGACGTGGGTAAAAACGATCATTTCATTTGCAGAAAGGAAACAGTCATGTAGTTCACTGGCATATTTGTGGTGTGTTGTATGGATCTGTTGCAGCCTTCGGATTATACAATTGTGCAGTTATGTTTCATCTTTGCTACATTTTTGTACTTAATGTATGAGCTTCCATTTTTCCCCCGAATTTAAGTTTTGACCCAAAGATATGTCCTGAAGCCATCAATGTACTGATTCCTTTAAATTGTATTAACTTCCAAAGTAAAGTGACCATGAGTGAGGTCGTAGTTGTTCACATAATTGCTGACATACATACAATCAGATATTGTGGGCTTTTTCCCAAAAAAAATTAATTAAAATAAACGTGGACAAATTTAAATTTTTCAAAATATTTGTGGACAGAATTATATTTTTCGGATTTCTGAAATCCGAGTTCTGATTAAAATTAAAGATTCAGATTTCGGAAATCCGAGTCTATATTTAATAATAAAATAATAATTAAATAAATTTTGTTGAATAATAGTTTTTTTAAAAATTCTTAAATGAACAGTGCCGGTCGGATTTTCAAAATCCGAATTGAATTAAAAAAATAATAAATTGAGGCGCGAAAAATTTGAACTCCTGGACTCCTTAAATGAACAGTAGTACTCGGAGTGTACAAAAAGAAAAAAGAAAAAAAAATCGCGGCGCGAAATTTTTGAATCCAAAAACCGGAAGTCCGTAATCCGGTTTTATGAATTTAGATTTTGGAAATCCGACTGCCTTTAATTTTGGTTGGTGGACGTAGGCATGTGCCATAAATTGGAGGACCAAAAAATGAATAAAATAATCCGGAATTGACCAAATCCGGATTCATGAAATCCGAGGCTAATGTAATTCGGATTTTGAAAATCCGAGTTACTTACGGACTCGGATTTCGTAAATCCGAGTTGAACGTGCTATAAAAGAAAAAAAATTCAGACAGTTCTCATTCGAGAACTGAGTTGGATTTTCTGTTTTTGCAGCTCAAACAAGGGTGAATTGGAGCTTTTGATGCATTCTTACCTCTAGATACGTGGGAATCGTTATTTGAAAGAGGTTAGATTGCAAAACCATGTTATTTAGTTTAGTTTTGTATTATTTTGATTGTTAGAATGATGTATGATAGATTAGGGTTTATGTTGGTTGGTTGTTTGGATGTTTTAGGTGTTGATTTTGAGGTTAGAGATGAGAAATCATAGTTGTTCATGAGATATGGAAGTTGATTTATAAGTATTTTAGTATTTTATAGGTTTTTTGAATTATGAATGGAGTATGTATGGTGTATTTGTTGATTTTGTTATTAAGAAATGATTAGTTATTGATGTTTTTTTAACAGTTATTAATGGCACGTAATGTATCATACATGCTTAATTTGTATCATACAAGTAAGTATGTGATAGAGAACGGTAGCATCAACACTTTTTCGAATATGCCGGATGATGGTTTGTTTGTTGAAGAAAGGTTGTCATATGAGGGATTGATTAGTAAGATTTGTATGACACTTGGTTGGGATCCAGCACACGTGAAACTCCACCTTTCTTTGATTTTCGATAGTCCCGGTGGTATGCGTGTAGTGAAGATCAAGAATGATTTGCATGTAGAGTTCATGAACCGTGTAGATACAATGTCATGTTTAGATTTATATATAGATTTGGAAGATATCACTCAAGAAGAAAGAGAAGCGAGTTTGGAAAACGTGTCATTTGGTAGTTTTCCAAGGGGGGAACGTGCTAGTACTTCTCGAAACCGTGATGAAGAAGAGACACATTTATTTGCACAAGATGACTACCGGGAAGAGTCGGATTCCGGGTACATAGCTCCAAGTGAAAGCGAAGAAGACTACTATATCTCCGGAGAGAGTGATTTTGAAGAAAGTGATGATGAAAGGTTGGAAAATGAGGAAAGGGATTGTAATCCATTGCCCCGACGCCATGTATATAGTAAGATGGGAAAATGGGATGCCTCATGTGTGGACAAGGATGAGTTTGCTCTTAAGATGTGGGATGAGACGGCCGAAGGAATGGACATTGGTGTTTGTTTCAAATTTCAATCAGAAGCAAAGCATGCTGTGAAATTATGGAACATCCATCATAAAAGGAAATATACGGTCGCCGCGAGTAGTCCAACGACGTGGGCTGTGCGGTGCAGAACATTAAATGTGGAAAGTGAGGATGGTGAACCACCATGTGAGTGGAAGATGCGTGTGTCTTTGAAACTCACGGCCTTCATGAAATTGTGAGATGGCATGATGCACATAATTGCATGATTCCCGTGAATGATAATGACAATCGGTGTGTGGACGCGTCTTTGATTGCTAGACTCATCAGGAGAAAGGTTGAGGACAACGTAGATTATACGGTAGCCTCGGCACAGAAAAATGTGAAGACCTTATTGAAAGTAGATATGCCATACAAAAGGGCGTGGCACGGGAGGAGGAAAACCATAGAAGCGGTCTATGGTGATTGAACCTTGAATTTCGAAGAACTTCCACGGTAAATATCAAGGTTTATTCGTGTATTGAAATATTTTTAGTGATTTTTGTTTTTTACATGTATTGAAATATGCACATGTCCTTCATAGACTCCCTGATTTCTGTACACAAGGCCAAGCCATTTGGACGACTAGGTGTTGGATGTTCTGTTGGGCTATTAGGGAACCCCACGAGTCGCGCAGAGTCGTAAGACTATTTGGATACATACAGGATGTTCCCAAGCGTCCCATGATTAAAGATAACGCATCATTCCTTCTCGATCACGCCCACAGTATGTCTGGGTATCCTAGCAATAATTGGGTGGACCACCATTCCGTAGTGCATCGTCATTGGAATAGGAGAGAAGAGTACGTGCTACGAGATTTAGAGGAAAGAGATCCTGGTTCCGTGTATGAGGGGTACAATGAATGATTCATGGTGAACACTGTCAGACTGATATCCAATCCTGGTAATTATGAACCTCAAGGATATGAGACTTCTTCGAGCCGCGTGAAATTATATGTGAGTTCATTCTATATTTCTTTTATTATTTCTTATGTTTTCATTTTATTTTTTTTTCATTTTATTTTTTTAGAATTTTACTCTCTTAATTAACGTCCCAATTTCTTTTCAGGGTGAACTATTGAACAACATTCGCGTGAGTACCGAGAAGTTTAGAGAAAAACGAGAAGATGAGAATCTCCTAGACGAAGAACTCGACAAGCATTTGGACGATATCATCAATCAAACACATGCTGCTTTAACCCTGGGTGCAAATGATGAGATGGAGGTGGAGGATACCCAAATCCTGGTTGATGAAGATCCATGTTTGCCCTTACAACCTCCGTCGGGTAAAAAAGTGAAACCGTGGTCAAGAGATAAGATTGGAGGAGGAAGAAAGAGGAAGGTCCCAATCCCCTCTTGGACATCGCAACAACAAACTGAGGCTCAAAAAAATGAGGATCAAGCACATTCTTCTAGAGACTCGCGCATCCAGGTCGAGACTCATTTTGAAGACATTGGTGGACCCGAGACTCAGTTTGACCTTGGTGGACCCGAGACTCAGTTTGGTAGACAGTCGCAACCACAACCAGGAGTCAAATTTCTCACCATGGGGGAGTCCCAATTCCAACCCCAACTCGAGACTCAGTTTGGTGGACAGTCGCAACCATAAAAGAGTTCAATACTCACGTATCTTAAGAGGGGAGACAGGATCCGGTAGGGCCCAAACAAATACACTCCGGATGCGCACAATAAAGGAAAAGGGAAAAAATGAGACATTTTGATGTATTTTGCACATTTAAAGTAGTTTTTGTATTGATTTTGGTGTGAAACTTGATTTGTTTTATTGTTAATCAATGCCGTTTATTGTTTTGTTGCCATTAAATTTCTGTTTTCCAATGTTTCATTGTTGTTGGTGCTGTAAACAGGTTTAGCACTGGTGAAAACCAGTCCAATTTTTTTTTTCAGTTCTGACAAAGACTCCGGATTTGCGAAATCCGAACTCAGACTTTTTGTAAAGGATTCGGATTTCGGAAATCCGAATCTGTAGCCAACTGAGAGTCACCATTTTTCAGAAAACAGAGGAGATTCGGATTAGCGATATTCGGATTACCGTGATCCGGTTTTCCCAAATTTAATTTTTCAACACATTTTTTTTTTTTATCTGGAAATTAATATTTTATTCGTAAATACGGATTTATAAAATCCGGATTTAGATTAATTACACTAATTTCTGTCATTAACTTAATATCGGATTTACGTAAGACAAAGTCGGATTTTTATAATCCGAGTTTATTGAGGTTCGGATTTCCGAAATCCGAGTTTCACCCCCATTCGGATTTCCTAAATCCGGGACATATAAGTTTGTCCACAAAATTTTTGAAAAGTTTATTTTTGTCTAGGTATATATAAGAAAATGTATTTAAGGAAAAAATTCGAGATATTGTATGCATAACAAGGAAAATGAAATGCGATATCCAAAGCAAAATGGTATATTTTCTGCCCCGCCCGCCAAATACACTACACCTTTTTTTTTTGTGTGTGTTTTATTTGTTTTTTGACTTTGCTAGTGAAATTTTACAATCCAACCATCGATTTGATTTCCTAATCCACGGTACGGTAGACCTAATGTCTAGAAGACTAGAATCTTGCTAACTCGCTGGCCTGGCCCTGATGAAAGTTGCTGCTATATTGTTAAAGTTAGTGGACCAAAATCGCAATTCTTTCGCATATCTCCAGCCCTCTAAAATACTCTTGTTACACAATTGCCCTAATCATCATCACAATTTCTTGTGCGCAACCCACAATTTACAGTATTTAAAAAACATACCCCACAAATTACAGATATTTCATTTAATTCCAAATACTTCAAAGATCTCAATTAATAATTCCTCGACAAACCAAAGATCACGAATTAAGTTCTCCACAATAGCGCTGTCCTCCTAAAACCGTCTCTCCTTCTCTCTCATTCAGCTGAATTTTCCAGTTTCTGCAAGAACAAAGAAAAGAAAATGCAGAGGTCTCCATCCCATTCCCTATTGTAAGTTCTTTTCCTTCCCTTTTCTGCTTTCCCTGTTTCGGTGATTAAGTTGGTCGCTGTCTCTGTTATGTCTTCTCGTTAGCCGAACTCATCTTTTTACAGGCAGTTTTTTCAAGAAAGTGACATTGAAAGTGAAGTAAAAAACTTAGGAAGAAGGGCTCGGAAAGATAGATATCATGACAAAGAAGATTACTCGGATGAATTTGTTGGGGAAGATAGCCATTTAAAGAACAACAAAGGAAAAGAGCCCATCAAACGACGTAAGCTTTTCTAGTCGTACTCTTTTGCTTACTACAAGGGATGCTTCGTGAATAATTTCATTCGGGTTTTTCAATTTCTCTAGGAAAGTTAAACAGATTTGGTTTACGAGTTTCAATGCCCTGTTTCTTGAGCGTTTACAGTTTCAGCAGCTTGTCGTAGGAAGTTTGATCAGGAAAGAAAAGACATTTTCTTTTGTGAATTTGTGTTCTGCACTGCTCGAATTTGGTGTCGTGTTCCTCAATTTCTGGCTTTCTTTCTTCCCCCACCCTAAAATTTCCCCATTTTTTGATGAATTAACATTTGGAACTTTACGTACATTGGATGAATGTTAGCACTCACTCGAGGGAAAATTAGTCACCCAATTCTGAGTTTTGTTTTATTTTTATTAAGTTGATATTCTTGCTTTTGATAGATTACGTTTGGCATCTTCTCTTATTTGCAATTCTTGCATAAAATTGTTAATTTCTTCATGAATTCGGTGGATGGTATTCGACCATCTTGAGTCTAGTAACGGGGTCAAATGAAATTGGGGTAGTCTTCTTTCTTTGTAAAGAACTTGTGAACTTCTGTATGGATTTGATGAATGACTCTTGTAAATTTAGAATCTGAATTCGGCTTTTCTTGACTGGGAATTGACTTGGCTAATCAGGGGTAGATAGCTCTTGGGGAAAGCATGGCCTTTGGAACCATGAGCAGAAGGCAAGAGCTGCAAAGCTTGAGAAACAGCTAAAGGCAAGATTGGCTCTTGAGGAAATGATTGAGGAACAGCTGAACTCTTTTCAAGCACACTACAACAGCATCATGGTCCCGAGTAGTTTCAAGGATGTGGCTGATCTTCTCATGCCCAAGGGAACTTCAGCAATGGAATTGGCAGCATTGACATGGTTAGGTGATTGGCGACCTTCTTCGATTTTGAACCTTTTGGGATCACTTATCTCATCCAATTCAGAATCAAATGTTGTGGGACAAGTCTTGCCTCAGTTGATTAAAGATGTCCGAGTTGAAGAGGCTGTAATTGATGAAGAAATGGCTGAAATTCAAGCCAACTGTGTGCTGCATCTTCCATTTGGACCAATTCAGAGAGAGGAAAATGATTCATCGCTGCTTTCTGTCAAGGAAGAGTTCAGGAAAATTCATGCTGTCCTCAACAAGGCCCAAAATCTCAGGTATGCAAACTTTCAAAGGGATGCGATTCAGAAATTTCAAGCCTAGATGAAAATGCTGGTTAAACTTTGGCATGAACTGATGACTGAATTTGTGACCTCTTGCTTTTCATTGCATGTTAAAATCAGGTTGAGGGCATTGGAGTTGGTGGCTAAGAAGGTGATGAGCCAAACGGATGCTGCAGCGTTCCTAGTTGCATTTTCTGCCATTCAAGATTTCATTCACCAATTCATTACTACCCACAGATTGGATAAGGGTTTTGACTCTCAGCCTTTAAAGTCTGCCCCCGCCCTGGAATCTTTGAGAGGTGGAAGATTTCTGACTACCACAAGAACCAAAACCTGTGAAGGAAAGAAATACAAAAGAATCTTGAATGGGCAGCAAATCGGCTAGATGGTTAATTTGTTGATTACCAAAGTACTGTTGATCACTCATTCTTTTGTTGCAGCAGTGAGTTGATGTCATTTGTTTTGTCAAATTCAACGAGTCATGTTTGAGCCTAGAGCCTTCAAAAACTTCAAAAACTCAAGCACATGTTTGCTGTTTGCGTTACTGAAATGATGTGTGTTTTTGTTTTTACTCGAGTTTTATGTAAAGAAAGGTTGGGGAGGATTTTGTATCAGTTGATGATGAATTCTTTTGTCCTGGCAGATTAGCGCACGAAAGAGAGAAGATGTAACAACTTTGTAGATGACTTTTTTTCAGTAATAATACTGGGCTTGTAAAGTTTACTTCCTGAGTATTTTTCCAGGTCTTTGATGAATGGCCAGGAAGGTCGATGCAACCGTAAGTACAATTGCTTGTGCGAGTGATGATGTACAGCAAATCTCATCCAATGCTTTTAATTGTTCTAGTTCTCAACAGTTAGGCCCAATGCTTTACCAAGTTCTATAAGAACTGTTTTTGCAATTGAGGATACGAGTCGGTTATGCGAAAACTTTGGTATACTTTTACAAAGTTTGGTTTGTTTCAACTATTGTAGTTTCTGTAATGGACAATGAACAATCTAGTTTTGTTTCGTCTGTGTTATTTATGTTTGTTTAATATGTGTTTTTAGATATTTTTGTATTGGAAGTGTAAAAAATATAATGAAAATATAAAAAAGTATGTTAGAATGAAACAGTTATTATTATTTAATTCTAAAAAAAAACAACTAAAAAAGAAATTAGGGACTTGGCCAGACTACTCAGCAAGCCATAATCCATAAACACTAAATAGAGACTTGGCCAGACCACTAAACAAGCCATAATCTTATATATATAGTATATAATATATATATATATATATATATATATAACTCAAAATTCACGGACCGAAATCCCACATATCATACGCAAGCAAATCACATGTCACAAGAAAGGTACTCAGACACACTCGCATTCATGTTCACATGCATTTTACGTAAATTAAAATAAATATTTTCAAAAGAAAGAAAAATAAATATTAAAAGTGAGGTGAGGAACACTCACCTGGCGTGTCTTGACCTTGATCTCTAACAATCATAGCTTAACTGTCCTAGGGTTGCCTAGATTGTGAGCTATACTATAAAGCTTGATGAATAGCAAAAGTAAACAGGAGAAAAGAGTTTAAGATTAATTTGAAAGGAAGCTAGAAGATTAGACTCTTTTAAGTTAAAATTCTGAATTTTCAGAACTATAGTCACGAAAGAGTCATATTCAAAGGTCATTTATGAATAAACCATTAATCCCTTTAACCAACCGTTAAAACAGACTTAAACTATGATGTATGAAAAGAGGTTTCAGCAAAAGAAATCAGTGAAAAGGATCAAAAATCAAAAAAATCAAGTCTCCTAAAATAGCACATGAAACCAGATTTTCAGACCAAAATTTTCAGATTTATGTCACATTCAAATCGAATTTCCGGACAAACTATAATCCCTTTTCATGAACAGTTAAAAGCGAACTAAACCTCAGCAAATCAAGGAGATCTTCAAGGAAAGAAACCTCAGAAAATCATTCAAGGAATCGGAGTAACTAACTCCTCAAAAGAAACTCACAAGCTGGATTTTCAGGTTTTTCAGTCATGGACATGTTATTTTCAAATCACTGTTTTGGACAATTTACAACTCTGTTTTGAAATCCGTAAAAACAGCAATAAATTAGACTGAACGAAGATGACATTCATGAAAAGAAATCCTTGGAAAGTGTTAGTGAACTAAGGGAAGAAGGTCCCTCGACATAGGACATCAAACCTGATTTTTCTGCACTTTTCGAATATACTACTCAAAGTACTTTGTTTCAAACAGAATTTTCCACGATCGACGTATCCATTTGACAAAACATGAAAAGCAAGCAGACCTTAAATACACTAGTAGGATTTAAGTAAGAAAGATGTGCATAAAGGAACCATAAAACTTGATAAGTGAAGCCCTCAAAAAGTTGCTAATCAAATCTTAAATCTTTCCTAATTCCTTCTAGGCATTTCAACTTGCAACTAGCATGCATAATCTTAATCTTCCTTACTTGCTATAATCGATGATGAGAATCATGTAGCCTTCCATGGAGGTTCTCCTAGTGAGGGGAATGAGCTAGTCCTTCATTCTAGTTTTGGAATGCTAAGTTTACTTTGCCGGCCAATCAAAGAAGAAAGGATGGATCTTGACTACCTATGTGATAGGGAGTTGGTTCAAGAGAGCTATGATCAAGGTGATGAGAATGTCATTAACTTTGGGGTTCAAACCAAAGGAGATGAAGACCTCATGGAAATAAGTGCTGAAGAGTATCAAGAGAGTTTGACTTTGTGTGCTCCATGAAGATCATTGATCAAGCTAGTGAGAAGAGTCATTTAGGTTCTTGAATGGACGGCCTATTTGATCAAAGTGTTCAAGATTGAGTCCATTGCTACACAATTGGATAGGTTGCAAACTATCTTAATTATTTCAAGTGTTTTTCCAATCTTTTGGAGTCAATAAAGAGAATTCTACAAGTTTTGGAGTAAATTGGAGTTTTCTACAACTTAAGGGGCGCAAGACCAATATTCCACTTTTGGAAGGGCGTTCAAGACATTTTACTTCAACAATTTGGAACTGAATTTCGAGATTAGAGTTAGTCTAAGTCTAGGAGTCAATTTTCGAATTTTTATCTAGTTAAATAAGTCATGTGGACTGAATTAAACTAGAGTGTTTTGATTAGGAGTCTTAGATTCCTTCTAGATATTATCCTTCTTGAGGATAAGTCATTTAGATAAGGTTTCCTAGATTTTAGATAGAGTCAAAGAGATCAAGTACTCTTCTACTTTTACTCCTTGGGAGATAAGATTAGAGAGTCCTAATTGGTCTTCTTTTTAGTGGTGCTGGCCGAAAATTCTAAGCCTATAAATAGGAGGCTTGGCCGAATTTCTTAAGCACCCTTGAGTGGTCATTTTGTTGTCTCTTTTGAGAGTTTTTCCTGTGAGGAATTTTTGTTAAATGGAGTGTCCATTTTTCGTATCAAGTATGATTAAACCAAGAGGGTTTTCATCTTGTCTTGGATCTTTTTGATCTTGCAGAAACCGTTCTTTTTCAAGTATGCTTCTTGATAGAATTGTTTTAAAACAAAACTTCTTATTTTCATACTACTTCTAGTAGTTCGATTGATGAGCCTTTCCTTTGGTTTGGTGTTCGAATTTCATGATGAGTGTGTTCATGAGATCCATTGTGGGGTTTGTCCTACTTTTGTTGGATGAGTTGTGCTTTGGCATAAGCATTTTGAGATAGTGTATGTGTTGCATATCGTTGGTTGGTTATGAAGATTACTAATCAATAGTATTCCTTCATAGTTGGGCATTGTTTGCTCCTACCTTTCTTGAGTCTCTTGATAGATGACTGATCGAGTATATTGAATGATGTCCTTGCTATTCTTAGCGTGGGTTGTTGTTTAATTCAAATCTTTCATGGATAATGTGTTCTTTGCTTGGTTTGAGTTAAGAGATAGAATCACTTAGATAAACAATCGTCTTACTGTGAATTTTCCGCACTCTTTTGAGTTTCACGGGATAGACAAAATTATCTTCGTACCTTCTTGTTGATGGTTGCATTAATGAAATTTGCTTCGTCTACGAGATTGCTATCAATCGATCTCTAAAATTGAAGGAATTGAAAGAGGATGATGATATGTAGGGGCATGTGGTGAAGGAGGGCATCAAGATGAGGCTGAGAAGTTGGATTTGAAGGTCGGTGGGCTGAGATTAAAGGATAGTTGGCTGAAGTTTTGAGAAGGAAAAAGAAGATGAGAGAATCGGTTATAGAATAGTGTCGATGGTTTCCAGAACTGGGAGGCTACTAAAGGCCCTAAATTTTTCCCTTGAGCGCCCTAATATAATACTAAAAGACCATTTTACCCCTACCAGATTTTATAAATTATGAGTTTTAATTTCATTATTTCAATTCCTAAATCAATCTTTCATTTCAAATTCTCTCATTCCAAAATCCCAAAAACCCATATTCAATGGCGGAACGAATGAAACGACTACAGAAAGAACTACGGAAACTGAAGGTACGTTAAAATTTGAATTGTTTTTTTCAATTTTATTTAGTTTTAATTGTTGACTTTTTTTTTTTAAAAAAGCACTCCAACTCCCGTCGGCGAAGGAGAACCGCACCGAGGCAAGTAGAGCTAGCGCGGAGATTCGCGCCAGCTCTGTAAGGAGTGGCGCCCCTTTCTTCGCCACCGAAAGGGGGGGAGGGGCGAGAAAGGCCGCCTGGCGAGATTAAACATGACCGGCATCGGTTTTTTTTAATTTATTTATTTTTTGTTTTAGTATATTAATTTTTTATTTTATTTATTTAAATTTAATTGTTATTTATGAATTGTAGAATAAATATTAGTAATTTTAATTTAATTGTTAGTATTAGTAACTGTAAATCTTATGAAATTTAGTTTAATTATTTATTATTAGTTAAATTTATGATTTTATAGTTTAATCTTACGAATTTATTTTTATTAGTTTAATTTATTTAGGAAACATTATTATTAAAAGTATATGTTTAATCTTAAGTAAATAATTTAGTTATAATACTTTTGTAGTTTTAGGAATTCATTTGTAGTTTTAGGGAGCTTCAAGTTTTTTAAATTAATTTGAAAAATTATGAAAGTTATTATAATTAATTTAATTATAGAAAATATATTTGTAGGATTAGTCGGTTTAATTGTAATTAGCCTCAAAAGAATATTATACGTAGAAATTAAATACTTAGTATAGGAAAATTAAAATAAATAAGTACAAAGTAAATAAAAAAAGAGGTTAGTAGATAATTAGAGTTAATAAAATATTTATTTAATTGTGGTCAAAATTAAATAATAAATTAATATTTATTTAATTTTGGTTAAAAATAAATAATAAAATACATAGATATTATTGTTTGTACTTAGTAGATTTAATAAATTAAACATTTAAGATGTATAGTAGATAATTTATAATTAGGTATTTAAATAATATAAAAATGTATTAAAGTAATTAACCTAAATTAATAATTTATTATTTAGGTTTTATTAAGTATGTATTAAAACTAATTTTTTTGGGACGCATTCAGAATTAATTAAAGTTACATGTTAAATTTAAAACTTTTGTAGGATGAGATGTCGCCTCTTGAGGGATCTGGACATCGGCATGCAGTTACGCGCCATCTGTATGCAGAACATCGTATGGAAAAAGAAAAAAACTTAAAGAAACTGAAAAATGTACATCCTACGTTTGGCCCACATGGTGAGTCAGCCAACGTAGATGATGATGATGATTTTGAGGGAGAGGAAGAAGAAGAGGATAGTTTTGAGAGTGGAGGGGACGATGTGGATGAGGAGGATGAGGCAGCCGAGTATTTCTCGCCTGAGAGGAGGGATATACATTTTAGAGGTAACTCAGTACTGAACCCCATTGGTCGCACTGATGATCAGATTCCAGTTCACCCTACCCGGGAAGGGGGGAGAGGGAGGGAGGAGGGAAGACCTGGTTGGATTATCGGCCTTGAATTCAGCTTACACTCCTGGTGGTTCCAGTGTTCGTGTCGGCCCACAGAGTACTTTTTTTAAAGGTCCCAGTACTACTCTTCATCATGTCGGCCCACAGAGTGATCTTTTTAGAGGTGTTAGTACTACTCTTCATGATACCGGACCGCTGGGAATTTTGTTTGGAGGTCCTAGTAGTACTCTTCATGATGTCGACCCCCAACATCGTTATGGCGGGACTTCGGCGCACCCCCCTCTGACTAGTGAGCCTCGTTCCCGTTTTGGTGCCGCCTCCATTGGTGCCTCTAGCCGTCCTAAGGCAGCTGCAACGTCATCAGGTACGTATTTGTAACTATTTAATCATTCATTACTGCTTGGTCAATTTCTTAATAAATTGCATTCCGTTAAATATTTATCAACTATTCTTTATTTGGTTTCAGGTACTAGCAGACGGTCTAAGGTTTCTAACGAAGAAATTGATGATTGGGTTATGACGGACGACGTATCTGGCGGGCCATGTGATGGGTCAATGATTCCTAGTTTTCTTGGCCACACTGCTTATCAGTTGTGGAATGGAGAAACAAGAGATTACCTGACAATGAAACCAACGAAGAAGAGTTTGTCTTGATTGCATGGATGGTATGTGAGGTTGTCGGAGAACGCACAGTTGCAAATTCAGAATACCGGTTTGTATCATCTGATTGATATCATGTATGATGACATTGACCTTGCGCTTATTTCTGCATTCATAGAGAGGTGGCAGCCCGACACAAACTCTTTTCACTTGCCGTTTAGGGAAATGACCATCATGATGCATGATGTGGCACACATTTTGGTGATTCCACTTGAGGGTTACTTGTTGACCCAGCCTCTGGAAGTGGAAATTTTGAAGATGCAGGTCGCAGGATTGCTTGGGTTGCCGGTGGCTGACTTAAAGCGTGCATGGAGCCACGGAAGTGTGAGTGGCATATTGATCGAGGAGTGTTGTCGCAGGGTCCTCCCCGCTGTTCAGGTTCAAGCTTGGGTGTGGATCTTGTTAGCCTCGACACTCTTCCTTGACAGGAGTGGGAGTAGGATTAGTGCTTCGCTTATGAACGAGCTCCACGGAGGTATCGAAAATATTGAACCTTACTCCTAGGGATCTGGTACACTAGCATTCCTCTACCGTTAGCTTGGGATTGCTAGTCGAGCAGGGTGTACCACGATGGCTGGTTGTATGACCCTTCTCCAGGCATGGATATATGAGTATTTTCCATGTTTCCAGCCCTCGAAGAGGCGGGGACGTCGAGGTGTTGATGGTTGGCCCAGAGCCCGAGACTGAATACCAGTTAGCTATAAGGGCTCGAAGCCTATTCAGAGTCGACTCCATCAGATTCGTGCGCAACTCGATGCGATGACTGAGCAAGAGGTAGTCTTTCTATTTTATTTCTGTGTATTGCGTAAGGTGTACTTCATTGTATGCACTATAATAAATTTTGGTAACGTTCGTCGAATGGGAGCCATTCGGTCGTGAACAGGTGGCCGCATATCTGAGGACCATCTTCAGTGGGTGGATTATGTACCACGACTTCCAGGAGCCATACATACCGGAGAGAGTGCTACGCCAGCTCGGTTACATGCAGTATATACCTCATGCGCCGCTTACGCCGGTCAATCAGTTTCGCGGAAAAAATACGCACAAGTATTTTGTTGATTGTCCGAGTGCCGAGACCTGTAACTGTTTGGTTAAATTTCCGAAGTCAGAGTGCATCAGACTTAGTCATTGTATGCCGGTATCGTCTACTGAGATAGGACAGGCAGCTGTAGATTATCTTGACTGGTATAGGAGCCATTCACATCCATTCCTACTGCCGACGTCCGTCCCGTCTACGTCACGCATCCCAGCTAAAAACTGCACCACTTACGTAAGTTCAACACTAACTGGAATTTTATTTTAATAACACACGTAAATTCAACACAACCTGTGTCTCGAGTAACATGTGAACCCTGTGCCAGACCGTTTCAAAAGAAGCATTTGCTGTGCCGAGCCATTCCTTTAACAACTTGTGTGCGCTCTCCACTCTACAAGTAGTGGTGTTGCCAAGATGCAAATAAGAGTTGGTCCATGCGTGCACAAACTTGTCCGCCACTACTAACCATGTCTTCCTGACATACTCTAGAACGGGTTGAAATTGGGACCAATTATGCTCCAGAAACTTCACTTTTTCATCGTAATCTTCCCGATTTGCAGCTTCGATCACTGTTTTAAAGGCCTTGTACGCGAAACTTTTTGCTATGTTCGAATTTCCGTTCAAAATTCTTTTCACATTTTTTTCATCATCCCTGTAAACGTGCCACGTACACAACAAGTGATGTGATGATGGAAATACATCATCAAGAGGCCTCATCAGTCTAGGCTCCCAATCAGTCACGATGACACTCGGATGCAGATCATCGCCATACAAGTTACGGAGCTTCCACAGCGCCCAATGGTAGCTGTCCCACGTCTCATCACTTAGAAGAGCGTATGCTATAAGGAAGGTCTGATTGTAAGGGGTCATTCCAACAAACTCCACAAGAGGCATTTTATATTTGTTTGTGTTGTCTGTGGAATCCTAACCAAGTTTGTATGGATTATTGTTTTCTTATACACTTAAAATCCTCCTCTTGCTTTTTTTCCTCCATATTTCCCTCTTAGTACTCTAACCCATAAAACCCCCTGCTTTGCAATTAGTTCCCATCCCAGCTTCATCAAGAAAGCCAGATTGGTTTCTTTTGCCTTTCAAAGACCTAACCCGCCATTTTCTTTCCTGTCGCAATCCGTATTCTAGTTCACAAGATGCATTTTGCATTCATCATTTATAGAACTCCAAACAAAACCTCTCATCAGTTTGTCCAACTCATCACATATATGCACTTGTAATTTAGCCGACTGCATCTGAAAGGTTGGTAAGGACTGTAAACATGACTGAGCCAACATGATTCTGCCTGCGAGAGATAGTTGATTAGTCTTCACCCTGACAACTTTTTTCTTGCTTTATCTGCAATATCATGATATACACTTTTTGTAACTCTCCCATATATGATAGGCGACCCAAGATATTTTCCCAGGTTTCTAGTTGATCCAAAACCAAAAGTCTGACATATCAAATTCTGTAGGTTTTATTCTTTGAAAAGTATATTTTGGTTTTCTGGGGGTTCACCCTCTCTCTTGAAAACCTGCAAAAATCACGAAGAACTTGGTTAATAACCACAACTTAATCCATTGATGCCTCAGCAAACAAGAAAAGTTCATCAACAAAGAATAGATGTGATAAAACAGGACCGTTCTTATTTAGTTGGATCCCCTTCCACTTCTTTTTTATCCACTTCTACTCTATTGCCTTGAGACAACAATTCTAAACAAATTACAAAAATGTTAGGGGAAAGAGAATCTCACTGTCATAGTCCTATCGAACGTTTGAATTCTTGCGTAGCTCCTCCATTCCATAGGATTCTCATGCTACTGGTTGAGATGCATTCTCCTATTAGGTTGATCAGTGTAGTAGGAATCCCTGCCGCTTCTTAAGATCTAACAAAATCCCAATTAAGTTTATCATATGCTTTCTTTAGATATATCTTGATCGCTATCCACCCTTTTTCACCATTCCTCGTTCTTTGAATGTACAACCTCATGAACAATTACAGTATTATCTGCCAATTTTCTCCCTAGAACAGAACTAGATTGTGTCTCCCCTGCCATTTTTCCCACTATCGGCTTTAAGCAGTTTGCTATTAATTTCGTGATAGCTTTGTAAAGTACATTACACAAGCTGATGGGGCGTAGTTGGGTAAGAGATTCTGATTGGTTCACTTTCGATATCAAGACAAGGAGCGCCTCATTAACTTCCTTAGGTATTCTTCCCTTCACAAAGCATCTTGTGACAAAATCTGTGACCGCTTTTTCCACCGTACCCCATTGTGTTTGATATAACATTGAGCTCCACCAATCTCTAGCCCTAGAGCTTTGTATCTCCCATATCCTTTTTTCTTTAATATATAAGGATTGTTTCTCAAGTATTTTTAAATGACAAGTCAAATTAGGATTTCCATTGTAAAAATCATAAATTGTGTTTGTTTTTTTTTTTCAAATTTTGTTATAATCTGGTTCACAATAGTATTTAAAACCCTAAGTGATGTGGACATCCCAATGGATCAAGCTCAATGACAAGTCAATGTTCAACCAAGCAATCAAGTTCAAGCTCAAAGGGTGATTCAAGATCCATTAGCCAATATTGGAGATCCTATTACGAGATCTCGAAGGAAGAAAATAAATGAATCGCTCAATAAATTGTTCATGGATGTTCAAGCTCTCAATGTGGATTCAATTCCATGGGTTTCATGTTTATCTTGGAGTAGAATTGAAGCTTTTAGTGCATGTCGAGCTCTTAACTGAGAAGAGGAAGTCAACAAAGAAGTTGACAAGGAGCCGTCGAGTTTGTGGCCGAGCAAAGGAAGTCGATGGGAAGGTCGACCGTCAAACGTCGAGTAACTTGTCGGTCGACGCGCACAAATCGACGAAAGTCGGGCAGAATTTTCAATTTTTCTATTTCGATTTGGAAAATGATTTTTCGGTAATTTATCCCTTTTGACCGACTCATATACACCTCTTGAAGATTCTAGATGGTTTTAAATAATTGTGACATGTGCAATTATTTATTTAATTATTATTTAAATCTACATTAGGAAACTTAAGTAGACAAATCCGGTTTGAACTTGTATTCGGGTTTCTCTTTGTCCAAGCCAACCTATGCCTATATAAAGGGGGGAGGGGGGGCTGGTCAACCAAAATATATGTGTCTTTCATCATTATTGATTTTTCAATACAAAAAGAGAGGAAACTCTTTTTTCTTTTATTCTTTGTGAAAAATAGTGCATTGCATGAAATTGTTTTGTGCTTTGTTGCAAGCGTGTGCATGATTTTAAGTGTTTTTCATGTGTGGAGCTTTGTTAGCCATTCATTGGAGCCTTTTAGCTAGCCGTTCTGCCCATAAATCGAAGGGGTGGGGTTGTTAGAGAGGTATTCTAATCGGGTTGCTAGCCAAAAACAAATTCTTTCATCTTCTTTCCTATCCATCCTTTTTTATGCAAATTTTTGTGGTTTGCATTTTTTTCTCCTTTAAATTTCATGAGTTTTGGTGTGTTCTTCCTTGGAGTCGCAAGTTATCAAGTCTTGGGAAAGAAAAGCTTTCGTGTTTGAGGTAAATTTGTCGCCTTTGCCTCAAGATTCATATCAATTTGGTATCAGAGCTTTGGCTCTTGGTACTTGCATGTTTTGAAGGCTCTGAGAATTAGTTCATATCAATTTGGCCTCAGAGCTTTGGTTCTTGATTCCTTGCATGTGTTTTGATCTTCTAAAGCTCATCTATGGATGATCTCTGTTTGTTCTTCTATAATTTTGTGTCTTTCTCATAGATCTCACTATTTGCTTCGAAATTGTTCTTGACTGAATGTGTTTGAAGTTGAATTGTTAGATTCGATTTTGCTGAAAATAAAAATAGTGGTACGGTGGCCGTGTGTGTGTATTCTGCCTAGGGTTTGGATCTTAGGGTTCCTTAGCCCTTAATCCACGAATTTTTTAGTATTAGGAAAGAAAAAAGAAAAAAAAGA